GATGGGGGAATGGTTGGTACGGGGCTGGGATGGGGGAATGGTTGGTATGGGGCTGGGATGAGGGAATGGTTTGTATGGGGCTGGGATGGGGGAATGGTTGGTATGGGGCTGGGATGGGGGAATGGTTTGCACGGGGCTGAGATGGGGGATTGGTTTGTATGGGGCTGGGATGGGGGATTGGTTTGTATGGGGCTGGGATGGGGGAATAGTTTGCATGGGGCAATGCTGTGAGCAAGGCACAGAGGGAGAAATCAGTGGGGTCAGTGAATCATTCCGGTTCAGATTCCCCATTGAGAGTACAGCTTGCGAGTTGATAGATTTTCTTGTTATTGATTGCATCCAGGCTAACAGGAATAGAATGGGTGAACGGGGCTGAGGTAGGCGATTAGTTAGAGAAGACCCGAGGAGGTTCCTTTGTTCCTAGATGTAAGATTCTGCTGTCCTTACATGGCCACTACAAGAGGATGTGCCTTGCTGCTCTGCAAATTTCTGCATCTTCCATGGCACCTGATGTAATTCTGAGTTGAGCTGGCATTTTGAACGGTAGAATTAGATCCCATCAACAGGGGTATCGGGGAGCGGGTGGGCGGGGGTGGAATTGTTGGCTGGAGGTAAGAATGTGGCAGAGAAGTTCAATGGTCCTTCTATCAGTTCTGATATCTTATGACCAGAAAGTCAAGTGTGGTCATTACCGTAGCATTATCTATACCATGGCAGTCGGCTTTGGTGGAATGCAGCATAAAAATCAGAGCTTGGGTGGCTTCAAACAATGACAGTTCTCCCTTCTCGATCCTTGTTTGGATGAACTGAATTGCTTCTGGGGTTGCGACTATCGGTAAGGTGTCCAAAATCCAGCGCCTGGGTTCACAGCAAGAAAAGTCAAGCATTGAAAACACAAGAACAGAAGAGGGCCATTCAGCACACGACCTCTCAATCAGAGATCATGATTGATCTGGATCTCAGCTCCATTCACCTGCCTTGGCTCCATATTCCCTCATATCCTTGCCGAACAAAATTTATCAATCTCAACTTTGAAATGTCCAGTTCATCCACCCAATCAACCACAATTTTGTATACCCTTCACTACCACCCCATACCCTTGCCTCACTGCCACCCCATATACTTGCCCCAGTACCACCCCATATACTTGCCCCAGTACCACCCCATACACCTGCCCCAGTACCACCCCATACAC